TATTGAAGTTTGTGTCGCTTTGCAGTGGAATCGATTCATTTCTTTCATTGAGAACCCTAAAACACGGAGATTAAAAAAATTTTAATAGGTATTTTGTTCATAGATATTTTTGTGTTCCGGAGGACGAAAAATCACGTCTTTCGTTCACGCGACTGCTCATTCGGTGTTTGACGATGAGAGCCATGTTCAGATTTCGGAATGATAAATATTCGGAATCGTAAATATTCGGAATATTTAAAATTCGGAATGTTTGAAAATCGGAATATTGAAAACGGAACATGAGAAATTCGGAAAAACAAAATTTCGGAATAAAAAAATTTCGGAATGAAAAAAATTCGGAAAAATTAAAATTCGGAATCCACAAAATTTTTAATGGGAAATTTTATAGTCTACATTCTCCACTAACAATTTTGTGGATTCCGAATTTTAATTTTTCCGAATTTTTTTCATTCCGAAATTTTTTTATTCCGAAATTTTGTTTTTCCGAATTTCTCATGTTCCGTTTTCAATATTCCGATTTTCAAACATTCCGAATTTTAAATATTCCGAATATTTACGATTCCGAATATTTATCATTCCGAAATCTGAACATGGCTCAACTTTTTGACGTTTACTACAAAACTGATAATAGTTGAAAATGTACTCAAGTTTAAAATAATTAAACAATATTTATTTTAAAATTTTTCAATTATTACGATAATTATATGTAAATGGAAATTTATTGTATCTAAATCTCTAGAAAATAATCTCATTTTTTGGAAGATTTACTACTATTATGTACTCTATTTAAGTGTTGATTGAGATTACTTTTACTTGAGTATAAACGGTGACAAATCTCACATTCAAAGGATTTTCTACGTAAGTGGACCGCATTTAAATGAGTTTCAAGTTTATTCTTAGAGCCAAATGCTTTGTGACATATCTCACACTCGAAGAGTTTGTTTCGACCATGTATTGCATTCACGTGAGCTTTGAAGGTATCCTGCCGGCTGTATGACTTGCAACAAATATCACATTCGAAGGAATTTCTACGGTCATGAATTGAATTTATGTGAATTTTGAGGTTAAATTTTAGTCCAAATGATTTGTGACAAATGTCACATTGGAAGGGTTTGCTATGAGCATGTACTGCATTTATGTGACTTTTAAGGTTTTCTTTTCGTCCAAATGATTTGTGACAAATTTCACATTCAAAGAGTTTGAATGCTTTTTGTTGAGTTTGTTTGTTGAGTTTGATGCGATCATGTACTGTCCTTATGTGTTTATTAAGATTAACTCTGGTTTCCAAATGATCTGGGACAAATCTTACATTCGAAGGGTTTGATACGATCATGAACTGTATTTATGTGATATTTGAGGTTACATTTTAGTCCAAATAATTTGTGACACATATCACATTCGAAGGGTTTGCTACGATCGTGCACTGCATTTATATGTCTTTTCAGATGACTCTGTTCTTGAAACGATTTGTGACAAATTTCACATTCAAAGAGTTTGTTGCGATCGTGTACTTTCCTTATGTGTTTATTGAGATCACTCTGGTATCCAAATGATTTGTGACAAATTTCACACTCGAAAGAGTTTATACGATCATGTACTCTTCTGATGTGAGCTTTCAGGTTACCCTTTTGTGAAAATGATTTTTGACAAATATTACACTCAAAGGGTTTTTTACCTTCGTGTGCTGTACTTACATGTATTTTTAGTTTTTTTGTGTTTCCCAACGATTTGTGGCAAATAAGACATTCATACCGTGCAATTCTTTTTGGTGTTGTATAAGTATTTGTATATTTTTTCAGACTTGCTCCTGCTCTATCAGCTTCTGTGCAAATTTTTGATGTATTGGTTGATTTTTTTTCAACGGGCTTTTTACAATTTTTCACCGTTTTAAGAATGGCAAAATTTAATTCGGAGTTCATATTAAATTGACAATTATTCTCGTAGTTAAATCCTTTTTTTGTCAAAACAATTGGAATTTTTTCATTCATGTCATCGGTCTGATTTTCGTTTTCTATTTTTATATTAGGTATTTCATGTTCTGATTTGTAGATGGTTGTCGGTTGAGCCTTCAGTTCAAGTTTAACGTCTTTACATTCAAGAACTATATGTAGTTTTTTATCTAACCTCTCTTGGAATGCCACAGCTTCATTCGCATGTTTTGGCTAAAATGAAAGTTGTGAGTTAGTTTCTAATAATTTCTCAACCGAATATACTTGAAATAATTGAACTCACCGACAGTTCATGAAACGGTAATCCGGAGTTCATATTAAATTGACAATTATTCTCGTAGTTAAATCCTTTTTTTATCAAAACAATTGGAATCTTTTCATTCATGTCGTCGGTCTGATTTTTGTTTTCTATTTTTATAGTAGGTATTTCATGTTCTGATTTGTAGATGGTTGTCGGTTGAGCCTTCAGTTCAAGTTTAACGTCTTTACATTCAAAAACTATATGTAGTTTTTTATCTAACCTCTCTTCGAATGCCTCAGCCTCATTCTCATGTTTTAGCTAAAATGAAAGTTGTTAGTTAGTTTCTAATAATTTCTCAACAGAATATAATTAAAGTAATTGAACTCACCGACAGTTCATGAAACGGTAATGTTTCAAAGTTCTCGACTTTGCAAGAGTCCACAGAATATAAAACATAATCGTCACCAGTGTTCCTTAAAGTATCCCTTGGCTCTTCCTTCACCCTGAAGAACAGTCGAGTTTCATGTCAAATCGGTCAAAAGATTACAATGCAATTATAGCACACAAGAGTCTTACCTTACTAAGTTACTGTTGTCTTCCATGACGTCCTCGATTAAAAGTATACAAAGTAGTAAAAAGTTCACTCTATTTTTTTACCATACATACTGACTATATATTTGAGGTTAAACGTAACAAATAGCTACAACTATAATTGAATTAATAAACCTCGATTTCAAGTTTTATTGTTCTCTTTCTACGAATATAATTTGTAAACACTAAGCTCGTCGGTAAAAATACACTAGCGATTCAATGTTCACTCGTAAATAGGTTAGCATATCCCACAAATGTTATCGTTAGCAGGCAAAACTCTCTCCCTCTACCGTCGACCGTGTCGATAAGCACTTATTTTGCGCGTGTGTTTGCTTTGTCCTCTGCACTGAAAAAATTCTGTTAATTAATACCAAGATACACATGAAATGTATATTCGTACACTAGTGGTATACAATTATAAACTGTTATGGCCAAGTTTTTCTCACATCTATGAGTTGGGCATCTTTCGTCACCACTGTTGCGCCCGATCTGCGCTCAACATGGGACTGAACTCCCACCATCAATACTTGTCACACTGCAGCCAAGTCAATATACCGGCGGCGTCGGCCACCGCCGACCGCTGCAAGTTGGTCACAGATCGCGTTCAACATAAGTGACGGAACAAGCACAAAATTTCGCGCTCATAATACTTGGTCAAAATCGAATATCATTTCATACCAACGTGAACTGAAATTCTGTTCACAAAATTTCGGTCGAGATTTCAAACTAAATGTGGTTTTCATTTATGAGCAGAATCTTTTCAGTGTGCACATTTTGTCTATAGGGTTCGCAAAAAATATTTCTAAAGTTGTTCGCTTATTGCTTCGATTCGTTCACTGAGGTTTCAGAAATATTGGGAAATGCGTGAACATTGTGGCATTTTTCCATTCTTACGACTGTTTATTGAGTGTCAAAATCATTCGAAACTCTTCTTTGATTATTTTTTTGGCTCTGGGACATTGAATTACGTGAAGAAAAATCCACTACGATTCTAAAAAGTGACGTTTAAACAGGTGTTCATTTTGAACAACGGTAGTATGAATTGGAGATTAAGTGATTATTTTTTTCAGAATTTTTTGGACTTTTTTATGATTTTGGGACCTGGATAAGATTTTGAAAAATCAATGTTTTTAAAAAAAAAGAAAATACGCTCAAGATTCGTTATTTAATATAATAGTTTATTACGAAGGATGAAACTATTCAAAATTAATACAAAACTGATAACGGTTAAAATATTTTGAAGTTTTTTCAAAAAATTGAAGGGTATCAGTGTCAACATTTTTCAATCATTGATTATTACGCGAATGCAAATTTATGGTGTCAAAATATCTCGAAAATAATCTTATTTTTTTGAAAATCCATTACGATCATGTATTGTTTTGATGTGTGCTTTCAGGTCACCTTTTTGTGAAAATGATTTTTGACAAATCTCACATTCAAAGAATTTGCTCTGATAATGCACTAAATTCATGTGAATTTTGAGATAACCTTTGTGTCCAAATGATTTGTGACAAATCTCACATTCGAAGGGTTTGCTACGATTATGAACTGCATTTATGTGAGCATTGAGGTGGCCTTTTTGTGAAAATGATTTGTGACAAATATCACATTCAAAGGGTTTGTTGCGATCATGGACTGAAGTTGTGTGTCTATTTAGATTACCTTTATGAGAAAATAATTTATGACAAATATTACATTCAAAGAGTTTATTGCGACTATGTACTGAATTTATGTGAGTATATAAGGCACTTTTTAGTCGAAATGATTTGTGACAAATTTCACATTCTAAGGGTTTACTACGATCATGTACTGACATTATATGCCTTTCGAGTACCTGTTGAAATCCAAATGATTTGTGACAAATCTCACATTCAAAGGGTTTGCTCTGATTATGTACTACATTTATATGAGTTTCGAGGTGTTGTTTTTGTCCAAATGATTTGTGACAAATTTTACATTTGAAGGGTTTTCTGCGATCATGTACTGACATTATATGCCTTTCGAGCACCTGTTGGTATCCAAATATTTTGTGGCAAATCTCACATTCAAAGGGTTTGCTACCATCATGTACTAACATTATATGCCTTTCGAGTCCCTGTTGGTATCCAAATATTTTGTGGCAAATCTCACATTCATATGATCTAATTCTTTCAACTAACGAATTTTTATGCATTTTCAGATTTTCTCTCGATGTATACGATTTTTGATACATTTTTGTTGAATACGATGATTTTTTTACAATTCTTGTACAAATTTTTACTTTCTTATAATTGGCAAATTTCAAATTTGAGTTCATGTAAAATTGACATTTATTATCTTAGTTGAATCCTTTTTGTATCAAAATTATTAAAGTTTTTGCTTTCGTGTGATCATTTGGATTTTCGTTTCCTAATTCCACAACAGGTAGACAATTTTGATACTTAGTTTTGCAAATTGTTCTTGATATAGATGTGGGTTTAGGTTCAATATATTTGCATTCAGAACCTGTGTGAATTTTCTTATCGAATCTGTCCTGTGACGGCATAACCTCGTTTATGTGATTTGCCTGAAATTCAATTGTGATATAGTTTTTGATATTGAATAAAAAAAAATATATTTCTAATCCTTGAACTCACCGATATTTCATAACGCGGTAATTTTAATTCAAACTCTTCGGCTTCGTAAGAGTTCACTGAATCAAAATCGTGATCGTCACCTGCATTGGGACAAGTATCGCTTGGTTCTTCATTCACTCTGAAGAATAAAGTTTTTTTAGAGATCTCTCGAAAAATTATCAAGGATTTGTAAAACTCACAAAAAAAATCATACCTGATTATGTCACTGTAGTTTTCCATCATTCACTTGTTCTAATATATGTTCACTGCAATTTTTCACAATACACACTGAGAAAATTTTCGAGGTTACATACGTTTCGAGTAGCCAACACTGTACATACCTGAAATTCGAGTATAGACCTTTTCCCCTCCTCTACCCACAGTGTCGATACGGAGTACAGTGTAGATATACGCATTTATTTTTCACGTATATAGCTTTGTTCTCTGTTACATATATTCTAAAGATGCTTGTTTACTTCTCCAATTCGAGTATATATGGTCAATTCTACAAATTTTTCTCGTAGGAAACATGGACATTTTGGCAGGTATCATTATCTACAGTTTTTTGGTATGGAAAATTGATTTACCCATTTTTAATCTAAAAAATGTAGCCTCAATTGACAATTGGCCAAAATTTCATCGCGATGTTTGATTCGAATCTCAAGGATTTTTTAATGGAAACATTCATATACCCGCACGTCGGGGACTGTAAACACAATATACTCGGCCGCGCGCCGGTGCCATATAAACGCAGTGTTAACGGAGTCAAAAAAGCTAGTATAGACCTAGACGACGACTAGCTTGTATGCACGCGTGTGCTTTTACCCAGGGAGAAAGATCGACAAACGACGGGGAGAAAAAACAGTCTTCCTTGGGTGTGGTGCATCTCTCTCTCTCTCTCTCTCGGGCCCTACCCATTACTCGCCATGTACATAACGAGGACGCTTCAAAGTACACTATGCACGGTTACATATAGGCGCATTCCACAGTTGCCGAGAGCCGTGCGCGCATGAAAGTCGTCCTTCCTCGCGCTCTCCTATATATATATATAGTAGGATGTCTCGACAAATGTTTGCTCGCACCTCGTCGCTCCGGAGCAGAGCTCGAGTCCGCTTTATATACAGCCGAGCCTATACTCCTACTATATATAAGTAAAGTTAACCGTTCGCTCGCCGCGTCCTTATATTATACTACACTATATCGTCGCCCCAGCGCAAGAACCGCACAAATAAACTTAAGGGGCAAAAACAACCTTATCCCTATGTTAAAAGGATAGGATTAAGGCACCTTTTTGCCACTTGAGTTTATTTGTGCGGTTCTTGCGCTGAGGCGACGATATCGTCGACAATTTGCCGACCGTATAACAGCTCGACGCAACTTTCGTGTCTGCGCGCCCGAGAGAGAATTACGTATATCATGTACCTGCGTACGTTGTCCTTTTTTATACACACATATATAATACTCGAGCGTACATCTATATGCAGGCACTTGTCGAGAGGCTCGATTTTTGTAATCCGCGGCTTTTCTCGTCCGTCCGTCCGTCCGTCCGCGTGCGTTCGACGGAAATTGAAAACGCTTAAAAATCCGCAGGCCACCGAGTCCATTTTGTTGCAGCAACAACAAAAAAACAGCTCTTTGCTGCCTCGTAAATCACGGGCTAGTTCAGGCTGCTGCTCTGCATATTCTGCTTTGACGGGCACTCGTCATAAACCGATCTCTCTCATAGCTCCAAGGTCGAAAGGCTCGTGCAGTTTGCGTGTGTGCACGTTTATCTATTTATATACCTGGCGTCAGGGCTGACTCGAGTACGAAATGAAAAAAAAAAACAAAAAAAGAAGGGAACGAAAAAATGAATAAAAAAATGAAGACACGAAAGACGTCGTCGACAATGCAAAGAGCCAGTGCAAAAGCAGCAAAATCTTGCGCTCTCTCTCAGCTCTACTCCACTCGTGAGTATACGTGTTTAATGGGCTAAATGTTTTTTATCGCTAAGAAAAATACAAGGGCTCGTTAATGCTCCGGGTCTCTCTCTCATTTTTGTTGGTTCTCGGTAAACTTTTGTTCTTCGTCTCTCTCGCGCTGACTCGAGCTCGTGTTCGCGAAAAAAAACGAGAGCTGCGAAGGATTTTACGACACGAAACACACGGTGCGAGTGGAGAGTAGAGAACGTTTTTCTTGGAATTTTTCTGACATTGCGTAAGAGCGCCGAGACTTAGAGAGAGAGAGAGGGAGAGATAGATTCGAAGGTAAATATAATCCCTTTTTTGTTGCTTCCGTATGAGAGGCGCCTGTCGATGCAGCCCCTCGATGCGAAACGACGATTTCTCAGTGTTTGCAAATCGGGTAGAAATGTATAATCGGAACGAAAAAAGCGCGACGACGTAATAGAGGTCGGCATCTGGCGGGAGTGGGACATATGTCAGGGTCGAAGCCAAAAAAAGATTCCGAGCTATTATATGACATTTTTTCTCCAAGCTCGGTACAAATCTAATTTCGATAAACGAAACTGCAATTCAAAGCAGTCCGCAATTTTTTCTCCACTCTCGCTGTATATTACAGTTATATTATTAAAGCAAAAACGTAATATGTATACATTTTTGATTCAAGTGGCAGGCGCATGAGTTACACAGCTGTGTGCGAGACCTCGTATAATAGCAGAAATGTCGTTTCTCTCATACCGCGAGCTTTTTATACGTTCGCGAGTGCACACACGAGTGTTTTAACGATGTAAAGTTGCAATATGTACGGCCGCGCTGATTTTTAAATTAAAAGTCGCGCATTTGTGCGTGTACACGTACATTTGTACGAGATGTGGTCCGGGGGGTTACAGTGTATACCCCCGCGCGCTCGATTCAGCGATTGCGACTCGCTAACGAAAAAGTAAATTTCTATGGCCTTTGGAGTTTATATTATATACGTCGCAAAAGGGAATTGCTGTATACGCTTATATTACAGTCAAGGAGAAAGTAATGTACGCGTGTACCTTTTTTTCCTGCTCTTTTTACGCGGCGATATACCGCAAACTCCACTCGCGTTGGTCGGAATTGACACGAATATAAAAGTTACCAGTGTAAGCTTGAATTATAATCGCTCTCATTTATATCGACGCTTTGCCCGAGCGGCTGAACAATTACGTTTTGATTATAACATATCGAATCTTCTGTCCAGCAGCAACAGCAGCAGCAGCAGTGGTGGCGGGTATAAGGAATTGAAATAATTTCATTAAGCAGAGAAAAAATCTCGACCGCTGCTATACACGGCTCGGATTGACGCGGTTAAGCGTGAAACACTCCGCGTAGTAGTCGTAATGCTCTCTCCCGCGCACACACATACACATACACGGGGAAGCTCGGCATGCAGCACGAGCGCAGAATTTTAATGTATTATTTAAATTAGTCCGCGGCAGCTCTGTGGCATATATAACGCTTGCGCGCGCGCCCGCGACACGAACAAATAAACGAGTGTGAAATTCTCTCCTCTTCTCGCAAAAGCTCGGATTTCCTTGAGCAGATTTTTCGGCTAAAGAGCCTCTCTCTCTATATATATAGCACAAAGTACGTGAGCGCATGTCCCTCGACATCGTGCGGCGTCACACAGCAGCTAATTCACAAGATCTGCTGCCGAGCCGAGCCACTTTACGAAATTATGCAAATAATCTTGCGGGCTCGCGAGAGAGAGAGAGAGACGAGACTAATAAGCGCGGAATATATAAACGTAATCGTAAATACAGATCCTGCCAATCCTGTATTACGACTAAAAGGTTCAACAGTCTGCTAATATGCTTGCTGTGCATCGAATATATCTATACACATACACGTATACGTACGGATCACATAAATGAGGAGAAGTGCAGCGCGCATAATATTCGATCGCTGCCGCAGCTGTGTACGTCATTTAGCTTCCAATTAACATTCGCTACTATATGCGGAACGTGTGTGAGAGAGGCTGTTATATATTTGCGCGAGTTCTCGATCTCAGATAGATAGATCGATAGATAGATAGATAGATGGGCTAGACTTTTGACACTAATTCGTGGCAATGGGAAACAGTACGAACGACGACATACGGCGCGAAACGAATAAACTAGAAAATTCTATCGCGACTTTTATGCGAAAGTCGAGCTTTTACGACGTGTAAATATATACGCGTGACCGATGATCTATCAAGCAAAAGTTTGACGCATACACCGCATTGCAGTAATAGTCGTGTCGAGCGAAACTTTGAGCCTAGCGCGACAAAACCGGAGAAAAGGAATAATAGACTAGATAACGCGCGTTGCGAGAACAGCGACTCGAATTAACGAGCCGTATCTATATATGTGGGAGAGAGGACGCATATGCGCCTCGGTCGTGTACCTGCGCTCTCGATATAGGTGGAACTGCATCAATTAACCATTTCTTGGCTTTGATCGTTCGATTATGCAGAAACACGTTCGGCTCGCGTGTATATATATACGGATTACCGATGCTGCTGCTGCTGCCGGTGCAGCTGAGCGCGCAGCGGCGCACGTGTCGATTTACCATTTATGCCCCCGGAAAAAAACTTAATGATTTTCCAATTATCTGCCTCTAACGCGTACGTACGAACCCAACTGTTATTATATGGACCGCCTAGAATAATAGTCCTTTCCCTCCCTCACGTCGCTTATATATATACAGTATCAATTCGGATAGATTAACGCGCATTTACGTACACACACATACTGCGTTGTGCACACACCGACTCAGCTCAAAGCATCCATATTGCCATTATATGTATATATACGCGCGCGTATCTTGTTTATAAACAGAAACGCGAGCCGACGAAATAATTTGCATAATTACCGTAATCCTGCGGCTGCTGCGCGTGGGCGTTTCTCTCTGTGTATACATGTGTGTGCGTGTGCGTGTGTCCCACAACTGCAGCCAACCTTAGGTCATTATGCATTAGTTTTACATCGATCCAGGCGGCTTTAATCATTTCGACTCTTGGGCTGACTCGCGCGCGGGTAAATATTGCCAATTTTGCGCCGCGCAAAGCTCGATAAGTCATTCCGTGTGTGTATGTGTGCTCGCGGATAAATTGCACAAACACAGGTGCTGCGCTTGCTTGTGTTGTTGTTGTTGTTGTTGTATTATCCAACGCCCACCGCTATACCACCAAGCGTTCGATTCATTATATTTGGCCTGCGCGTACGCATACAGCCATAGAACAGGGTGATTATAAAGCGTTGTGTCTTGCCTATTTCGTCGTTATAATTATTCGCCAGAAATAAATCATCGATCCGTTCGATATACGCGATATAATTTTCGACTTTTTGTTCGACGCGTAAACGCCCCCGCTGATAATGACAATTGGC